TTGTGCAACAATAAAACATAGTGTCATGTCAGTTGATGGAAACAGCTCAACTTAAAAAGTCAAGCTAAGAATAATACCTGTAAATGAAATGAGAGAAAACTAAACAAGTTCAGAAGGTTAATCAGCGACTATTTGTATTTATTTATTTCATATGAGTGACTTCAAAATGTTTTCATTATCTCAACTCTCAATGTTAGTTTAAAAAAAGCATTTCTATCCTCTACATACTGATTACTCCTCCTGACATTCTCTCTTTCATCACAAATCCACTACATATTAATACAATATGTAAATATAATAAAATTGAACCAAATTGTAATGAAAGTTTGGTTTTACTGTTTCCAGTGTGAAAGTCCATTATAGAAGACAGCAGCTCAGTATGAATAATATATGAGCGGAAGATTTAGAGGTCTGAGAGGCAAAAAAATAGACAGGTGAGGCAGATGAAAGAGAAGGTAACCAGGTAACCATGGCACCAGGATGTCTAGTAAAGCTATTAACAGTAATCTGAGCATTTCAGCTGATTATTGGCATTCACTGAAGAAGAATATGTTGTGTGCGTTCCTCTTTCCAATTGTTCATCCTTTCTGTGTTATGAATGATGTTGTATTTGTCTCAGTCTGCTCTGACCCCAACGACCTCTGTGTGTTTTGAAAGAGAGCAGAACTTACTGTGGTGTTAAGGATGAGAAATGAGGGAAACAAATGGAGAGTCAGAATACAAGTGGGGGGAGACAGGATAAAATGAAGGAGAACAAGGAAAGAGTAAACATATTTGTGTTTACTCTGCATCAATGCAAAGATGCATACACTGTTTTTCTGCAATTTTCCCTCCACTGGTGCTGCTCTGCATCTTGCATTATCAGTTTAACACAACTGAGCTAATATATTCTGCATACATAGCCAATGTTAGCATTAACAGTTGTTTACTCACCTGTCTTGAAGAAATATTACAAGTATTTCAATCACTTCTTTTCTTCTCCTGAAGTTAGCATGCTAACCAGCCAGCCCCAGTTCTTGTCTGTCATGGTTTGGTTCAGTTGGTTTTGCGGTGTTGGTGGGGAATCTGTTACAGCCAGGTGGATAAAGGGAAAGAGATGATGTAAAGAAGCATAATGAATATTATAAAGAAAAGAGCCCGCAGGAATGATTTGGAATCATTGTGGTGTGATTCAATGAAATCTCATCCAAGTAAACTGTTAGAAATTACAGGAAAACCAACATGACAGTTTCCAAAGCTGGCAGCTAGTCACAACTAGTTTCTGATAACACTACAGAAACATCAATGTGTGTGTTTGTTCTATCTTTGTTTTAATTTGGCCTTAATATATCATTACCATCAGTCCTAGCTTTTCTCGTGGCTCTTCTTTTTTTTTCTCTTCACTGTGTCTTTTCCTTTGACCCACAGTAACTCACAGCTCTTAGTGCTGCAAGAATAAATCTTTATCCCTCTTTTGTCACCACGGATGTTTGTTGCTCCAGTAAACTATAGTGATGTGTGAATGAGAGAAATACAATAGCAGAGGGAGGGAGAGACATGTCCATGGCGGCTGCAGGGTACAAGACAGATACAGAAAGGATGACCATCACCATGGCTACCATAATGTAACTATTACTCCGTCCATGATTTGGTCAAGTAATCTCTGTGTGCCGCTTTCTCTGCAGACTCTGAAGGACCCCACTCTTGCAGCCAGGAAGGATTTCCAGCGCGAGGCTGAGCTGCTGACCAATCTCCAGCACGAGCACATCGTCAAGTTCTACGGCGTGTGTGTGGACGGAGACCCTCTCATCATGGTCTTTGAATACATGAAGCACGGAGACCTCAACAAGTTCCTCAGGTGAGTCCAGCAGACGAACACCAGGTGGTGGAGGAGGAGGAAAATAGATGATGGACTAGTGATGTATGTGGAAACTATCCAAAGCAGTCGAGCATTTCCTGTGGGCCTTCACAATGAAACTCACACATGACATTTTCCCTTGCTCCTGTGGGGACGAGACAAGAGACAAGGGATGTGAAGGAGATTAAATACAGAGTTGAAGTTGTATTTAATTTAATTATTTTCACAATCAGACCTGTACCTCCTCTGTACTCATCACAAATATATTACTGACAAATGTTTCCCATTACATGCAAAGTGGTGCTTTCAATTTGAAATGTGTTTTTATGCCACAGTCAGAGCTGGAGGAATATTGTTTTCAGGTTGTCCGTCTGTCCCATTCTCCTGGACACGATATCTCAGTATCACCTTGACAGAACTTCTTCAAATTTGGCTCAAACATTCACTTAGAATCACAGATGAACTGATTAGACTTTGGTGGTCAAAGGTGAAAGTTTAAGTTTAAGATAACCTCCCTCCACTGGCTCCCAATCAAATTCAGCATCCATTTTCAAATACTGGTACTCACCTTTAGAGCCTTGAATGGCCAAATACCACAATATATTGCTGACCTCCTCCTCCCTTATACTACCAATCAGGCTCTTAGGTCACACACAGAGGAAGTGATGCTATATCTTCACATAGGTCTGTACAATTAACATGAATCTTGGGCCAGTAGTTTGCCGTGCCACAGTGTTTTCTGTACAAAATGTGAAGAACATTAACCACTAGCTGATGCCTCTACACAAAGACTGACCCCTCAGGAACTTTCCAGTGGCTGAATGGCTCTTAATTCTTAATCTACAAAGTAGTAACTAGTTAAGTAAAGTACATATTTTACTTAAACACAGTAATTGAATGAATGCAGTTTTCAAAAAACTTGCTGGTGCTTCCTCACATTTTCTTTGTGTATAGAGTAGTGGCTCTGTGGGAGTTTCCCACTCACCAGTCACCTGCATTGACTTCATGATCTGACTTCTGTCAACTTCTGTCGACTTTACTGTGATATTTCAGAGCAGCATTTTGAAACACTTCAAAAATGCCCATTTTACATTTTCTGTCATGAATAAATGAAGTAGAAAGAGACTGTGGAGGTTGACCTGAGCTGTCAGACATATGTGGCAGAGAGCAGTGTGTTAGCTTGTTCTACAACCACCTGCTTGTTAGGCTCCTTCTTCCTTTACAGCCCCACCTCACCTCTCTGAAGGTGTAGCCCCCGTTGACTGGTGCCAGGCTGTTTATGAAATTTTTTTTTAGTGAGCTGACTGTTATACCAAAGTTATAAATATAAATGACAGACTCTGCTCTGGCATCACCACAGTCAGTGTGCCTTACTGTGAGAACCTTGTTAGAGCCATGTCATGTACAATACAAGTGTGCTATGTAGTGATTGATGAATGAGCCTGTCTGAGATAGTGACAGACTGACACAGGGAGCTGTTCCACCCAGAGCACGATGTAACATACTTCAGCCTTAAGTAAAAATATTACCAGTGCTGGGTCTCACAGTACAGACCTGCTGTAGCTGTCACATGGTGATTGATGACCAGGACAAAGAAAACAGATGCAGAAGCAACTTACTGGTATAAATCAGTCTGTGTTCAGAGAAGTGGTGTCACTACCTGTGTCCTGACCTTTTCCGAACCTTCCTCCTACACATAAGAATGATCAAAATCTAAGAGGCTTCCATGTAGCACCACCCCCTGGCTGGATATAATGGACGTATTTTAAAAAAACATGAGGAATTCAAATATGGCAATGCATTGGGTCAGGGCAGTGACCCATATCTAAATTACCCTTTCTCACCAAAACACTGGAAAGAGTAGTTTATTCTCAGATGTTATCACGTGACCACTCACTTTTTGAAAAGTTTCAGTCTGGTATTCAAACTGTTCCCAGTGCAGAAACTGTACTTCTAATAGTCTTTAAGAATATTACAATTATTTTAGATTGTGGTTGCTGTACTGTTTTGGTGTTGTTGGACACAGTGTATAGTGACATTTTAATTGACAGACTTGAAAACTGGGAATGTGTAACTGGGCCTGTTCTAGACTGGTTTAAGTCTGACCTGAGGGACAAAGCATTCTCTGTGTCGATAGACATTAGGGACTTTAAGCAGCGATGGTTGAAGGGACGGCTACAGCATGATGTAATGACGTACACTTCCTACAGTTGCAGCCCAGCTGTCTATTACAGGAGAAAGACTAATTTGCCGTACCCTGTGATACATTAAAGAGTAAGCAGGTAATACATTTTTGTCATATTTGACACTGTCATATCTTTTATATTCAATAATACCGTGACTGATTTTTCCAGGGTTAACCACTTTTGTTAACAAAAACACCAAAATTACAAACCTCCATCCTCCCTCTCCAGCCCACAACTTAACTGTGCTGTGTGTTGATGAAACCATGATGCTGTCCATGGTGCTGAAGTAACAGATGGATTTATACAAATTCTCTTAAATTGTAAATTAAATTGTCTCTAAAGCAAATATCAAGAGCTCTCAGGTCATTTTAAGAGACATATTTTAGCAATGTTCAGAGCGAACTCAGTTTCCTGGAGTAGAGAAGTAGCTGTTGTTAAAGTTAAATGTTGCTTAGTGATCTTTGATTTCCACTACTACAGCAATGCGTTGGAATGTATACGGGCGCCATAGCCATCGCTTCACCTGTTGCTGCTTAAAGTCCCTAATGTCTTCTCTACCTCTGCAGTTCTTACCTGTGGCATTCCCCAAGGTTCTATTCTGGGTCCTTTACACTTCTCCGTATACATTACCAGTGGGTCGAGTTATCCACAAATTCAATATGCCCTCACATTCTTATGCAGATGACACTCAAGTTTATTTATCCATCAGGACCCAGAACACAGCAATTTTGTGAGCAAAGCTTTAGTTTCCCATGGCTTACAGTGCACACATTAGGCCAGAAATCTGGAAGTAATCTTCAATTCAGACTTGAATTTCAGTTAACATTTTAGCAAAATCAGTCAGATCAGGAGTTTTGCCAAGATCAGATCATGTCTTTCATTCAGTGATGATGATCCTTTAGTTGCTGAACTGCCCCAGAAATCCATCAGTTGTCTCCAACTTACTCAAAAATACTGCAGCAAGGGTTCTCACAAGAACTGAAAAATATAATCACATATGATATTATTATTATTATTATTACTATTATTAATCCAATGGAAATGCTCACTCAGTGCACACTGACAACGAAACATGTTAGATATGAGCTTTAGTGTCAATCTGTGGCTGACCTTGCAGACACACACATATCTTGGAACATCTCTTAGTCTCTTTTGAGTATGTTCCTGTCCTCATGACTGAAACTGTGATAATTCGAAAGTCATTTGTGAACATGTGCAACACTGTGGAAGCTTTCCTCTTGAGATATGACATGTTGCCTTAATACAGGTATCTGACACAATGAAATAACAGCTGGAGCCTACGGACGTTTACACTGTACATTACTGTAACAACAACGGTGACACAGTTGAATATTCACACAGCTGATCTGAAGGTCTGTTCAGACCCTGCCGCTCTGTATAAAGACAAAGTTCAAAACAGTTCAGAACCTTTATATAGACAACTTGATTTTATTGAGGTGTTTCTGACTGAATACTTCAGATGTGCTCTGCTCCTGTGGTTGGTTTCACCAAGATATCTCAGACTGGTCTGTAGTGCTGGTCCAGTCTTCATGTTCCTCATAGATAAGTCTGATGTGAGTGTTTAACAAAAATAAAAACTGTTAACAACAATTAACAATTAATGACACGTGCGCTGACCAGTAGCACCCAACAAGCAACAATAGGAAAACATGGCTCATACATGTGGTTTGTTAACATTGTTATGGAGAGAGCGATGAGAATGGAAAGGGTTTTTAGAAACTGCAGTGATTCTTTTTTTCTCCAAATCAGATTTTTCTTTTTATTGTTTCATTCTTTGCTGAATTTCTAATGTAAAATGTCTTTGTCGCTGTTGAATTGTTACAAAAGACAAACATTTTCTGCTGAGGTAAAAGGATCTGAGCGACTAGATGTGGTTCCTCGGTCGTCCATTATTTTAATTTTATACTAAACTAAACTGCTTTGTGCAACAGATGATTTCAGACTCAGTCTATCTGAAGTCTGACTATTTGTTATAGCTAAGACACAGTCAGAGTCAGTCTCTGTGAAGCTGGCCCCTGGTCCCCCTGTGCGTGCGTGTGTGCATGTGTGTGTGAGACTGATAAATGAGACTGCCTGAGAGAACAGATTAGTGGACAGACAGACAGACAGACAGACAGGTCTGAGGAGACTCTTTCAGTTCACACACCTCTGTTGTTCTGTGGTCCAGACGCACAGTGACACTGAGCTGTCAGCTCTGCTAGCATACATTTTGTTACAGAGACTTCAGAGTTCCCTTGGTGATGACATCTAGTGGCCATCACAGGAAGTGCAGCTTCATGTCCTACTCAGAGCTGGAGTCTGTCGAGTAACATGTGTCTAGGATCATTCTCCATGACTCTGTAAGGCATTATGTAAGAAACTTTGTGTTGAACCATGTCTCAGACAGGTTTCAACATGGTCCTATGGCCCTCAAACACTGACACACTCCTCTGTTCATTCCTGCACAAAACAAAAGTCAATTTGAATATTGAATATTTGTTGTGTTTATGTACTACTGTTCACTGTTTCAGAGAGACACAATGCCTCAATAACAATTACTGTTAACAAAATGAACACTTTTTTATTTATTTATTTATTCATTCACCTATCTAACATTACCCTGGTATGGATCATGTGCTTGTTTCATGTTACACTTTTCTGTCCTCTTGGCTTTTATTTTGACTTTTTTACACTTCACTTCCTCTTTCAGTCTGTCCACAGTTCTACTGTCTGAAAAATGAGAAATGAAAACATGAATTTGCAAAAGCCAAAACTGGACCATTTTCTGAATTGGCTTTTTGTTTGGAAACAAAAAACAAATAGACCACATGATTTAATTTTGTCTTGTGGTTTAGATTTAAAAATCAAATAAAACCATGTAAATCGGTTTTTGGTTTCAAACAAAATAATGATAAAAGGGATTGCCAAAAACCAGAAAATTTTTATTGGTTTTTCGGGTTTGATGATTACACCAAACAGTTTTTCTGTTTAAAAGAAATAACAAATTTAAGTTTTTTTTTTTGTTTGTTTTTTTAATTACAAATGAATTATGGATTATCCAATGATTTGCAGAACCTTTAATTATTTTTTCTGTAATCCTCTTCTGGAAACTGAATCATGATTATTTTTTATGATTATGTTTAACAACTCAAAGAACTTGGTCCAAGGGAAAGAAGAAACAGTGGTGACAGTAAGAACATGTTTACTTTTTCACTCCAAATCTCCCTCTGATCTGAAACAAAGTGATTCTGCAGTAAACCTGAACAAAGCCCTGGTCTAAAGTCCTGAACTCTGTACACCCACCATCCGCCACGGACACCTCCCCTATCACTGTGAGACAGCAGAGTGCAACACTACAGGGACTATTGTAATTTCCCTGAGGACTGCATTAGGCCAAATCTAGTTTTTATTAATAGTTACATAATTACATTTTTTACATGGCTTTAATATATACATACATACACACATACATACAGTATATATATATATCTATAATATAAAGAATGATGGATGAACCTATGAAGAAGAGGTTTGGAAGCTGGTGCAGGAGACTGAAGTTGTTCCTGAGGTCGTCACCTCACTCAACCGGCTCCCTCTACCTGCTGACTTTCTGCTCTGGATGAGTGCACGAGCTGAATATCCAAATTGTAAATTGCGGTTGGTAAGCTAATGAGCTGCATTATGTCTACTGTGATTAGATGTTATTTGCTCCCAGGATGCTTTGCCCTGCAGAGTAGAACATTGGTACTTAGTCCGCCGCCAGGAAGTGAAGTCTGCCAGTGCTGATGTATGACTCTGTGTGTGTGTGTGTGTGTGTGTGTGTGTGTGTGTGTGTGTGTGTGTGTGTGTGTGTGTGTTTGTATGGGACAGTGTTTCAGTGACTCTCTCTGTGCCTTGGATGCTAATTTCAGCTCAGTAATTGTGTTTCCATTAAAGTGCTGGCATCAATTCATCCAGGACACGCTGCTAATTTAGCCAGCACCCAATGCCCTCCACACACACACACACACACACACACACACACACACACACACACACACAGTGACTACTGGCTTCACATTGTATACCCAGGTCATCACAGCTCAGCTCGCACTCCTCCTCTTCCTCACTGCAGGTCTTCACTGCTACAGCTGTGACTCAGCCAGAAGTGTGACCAACACAGAGTTGTGTGACTTTTTGTTATATCATCATACAGTGGACATTTTCCTTCTATAAGTAAACCAGCAGAGCCTAAAGCACTTCAACACACTGAATATCAGTGAGGACACACACTGTTGATCTGACTGAGTGCCAGTGCTTATACTCATCCTCACACACACACACACACACACACACACACACACACACACACACACACACACAAACCAAGCTTCCGCTTGACTGCACCACTTCTTTTACAGACGTAATCAGTCAGAGGAACAAAACCAGGACTTTACTTTCATACTTTAACTACAGTTTGCTGTTAATATTTCAGTACGTTTCATTAAGTAGGATTTTTCATGCAGGATTTTTACTTGTGAAGGAGTATTTTTAATTTGCTGTACTGGTACTTTTACTTCAGTTTAGAATCTGAATACTTCTTCTGAGTGTATTGTAGCATCACTATCTAGCATTACCTCTGTTACTACTTAGCTAGCTAGCTGCTACAAATGAATCGACACAAAATAGCATTTTAATGTTAACTAGGGTTGCCACCCGTCTTGGTTTTCCCAGGATTGTTCTCTTTTTTGAGCGACTGTCCTGAAAAATCTTTCCTGGGACACGAAATGTCCCGGTTTTTGTGAAAATGTAGAATTTCATAGTTTCAAATACAACCTAATATGTCTCTGTTTCTATTTAAAATTAGAATTTAATATGGACTAAGGGAGAGCACCTGAGAGAGTGCGTGTGAGAGAGAGAGAGAGAGACACACACACACACACGTGAACTGGGGCTGGGGGGCTGGATCTGGAACACAGAGAGTCACAGGAAGGGGGTATAAGGGAAGGAATGGAGGATGGAGGTCTTATGGTGTAGAGGAGCTGATCCAGGGCTTGAGAGGGAATTGGGGTGATGAGGAGAATCTAAATCCAAATGCAAATAGAGGCTGGTTGGTGACTGAAGATTGGAGGGTGAAGCAGGCAGAGACTTGGGTGGAGGAGGGTGTGGGATCTGGCTCTGGAGTCCTAGGGCACAGAGGAAGAAAGCAGGTGTAAGGAAAAGGTTCACAAGCACGACAAACACTCTTGATAATGTTCAAAACAACAAATTTGCTGAGACCTTGCTACTACATTACTGAACAATCAGGCGATGGAAGAAAGGCCGGAGTATTTGAACTGAGGCTGATGAGGTAATGGCATACAGGTGTGGTACTCTCCGGAGCCGGGTAGGGGAAACCGCACCCACAGCACCTACACAGACAGGGAGGAGACACAAGGGAACACAGGGAGAGCACAGAGAGACACAGGGAAATCCAGGGACGGAACAGCCTCACTGTTTAATTGTGATAGTTTCCTTCCACTGCTTTTCTGTTTCCTTCCTGGTTATGTCCAATCCTGTGTCCGTAAACATATGAAAACGGGTACAACAGTGACGATTGGCCAATGGTCATGCCTATACTTTTATTTGATTGGTAGCAGAAATACAAAAGTTTACCTTATTACCTAGCAAAGAAAGTCTTTGAGGAGGCCTGATGGCCGAGTGGTTAGAGTGTATACTATATGGGTGTATTGGTCCCTTAGCAGCTGGTCCCTGATTCAACTCCTGGCCGGGATCTTTACTCAAAATGTCTCAAAATAAATAAAATGTTGATATTCATATTGTTTTAAAAAGGAACTGAAATCATTGTGTGAATGGAGAAAATGAATCATAAACCTGTAGGGTTTTGAACATGGTCATCAGTCATGTGAATTAAACACAATTTAGATTTAATGGGCTTCAACATGTAAAACCAGCAGTATGGCCTTTACTGTGAATCAAAAACATCAGGCTTTATCACTTTGACTGATGTCAGGTTTGTCTCGTGATCAGTCTAACTGACTCTGTGATTTCCTCCTCAGAGCCCACGGGCCAGATGCCATGATCCTGGTGGATGGACAGCCTCTACAGACCAATGGGGAGCTGGGTCTGTCCCAGATGCTTCACATAGCCAGTCAGATCGCAGCCGGGATGATCTACTTGGCGTCCCAACACTTTGTGCACCGTGACCTGGCGACCAGGAATTGCCTGGTGGGGAACGGTCTTCTGGTGAAAATAGGAGACTTCGGCATGTCGAGAGACATCTACAGCACAGATTATTACAGGGTGAGAACATTACATTTATTTCTATGTTTTTCTCCCAAAAATAAAGAATGAATTTACAGTATAATGTTGTGCTGATGGACGATCAGTGATCGATCATCATCAGAACGATCGCCGATTGCTCGTGCCTTTGCAATTGTGTAGAAGTGTCAAAATGAAGTGGGCAAAATACTGAACCCCATATTGCCTCTGATGCCTGTTCAATCAGTGTATGAGTGTGTGGCAGAAGTGCTGTATGAATAGTTGGGTGAGTGTACAGCGCTTTGAGCGGTCAATGTGACTAGAAAAGCTCTATATGAGCTCATTTACCATTTATCACAATTACAAGTTGTGTCACAATACGCCTCTGCTCCTACCTGCTCTCTCCTGGGTTAACTGGCAGATAAAAACATCAGGTGTAAATTCAAACTGTATCTAGTGTTGTATTATGTTTTGACTTATACAAAATTTAGTTCCAACCAAGTAATTTGATTGGACGAGAGTCATTCCAGAGTGCTGCATTTATATTGAGCTTTTCTAGTCTTACTGACCACTCAAAATGCTTTACAATACTTGCTACGTTCACCCATTCACTCACATTCATACATCACACTCATATGTGCAGTTATACACTGATAGACTGATAGTTGTATTAAATATCAGCATGGCTCTGATTGTCTTCTGTACTCAGCCTGCGGCCTCGTACTTATGACCGAATCACAGCCGTGCTGATATTCAATACAACATCACTCCCTCTCAATTGATATTACTTAAATGAACAAGTAATCATGTCCACGCCCACCTAGGAGACAGGAAGTGTTTACCATTTCTTACCAATGGCACTGCTTGTAGTGATTCATCTTAATCTTTGATTAACTTTCATTGGTAGCAGCAGGACAGGGGTGTGCTGCCTTAACTGACGGTCACATTCAGTGTGTAGCTTCTCTAAATGATTGAGCCTGCAGCTGTTTTTTAAGGACTTAATATTTTAATGAGTCCAGGAGCCCAAACTTCTCATGATGGTCTCACATGGAGTAGTTGAAGACATCCTGCTGTTTGTAGAAAAGGTTTGTCTTCATAGCTGATGGTTTTCAGGAGACTCTCTCAGCACTGTAATTGGCATGGTGGGAAATAATTTGTGTTTGGCAGTAAATGTCAGTGACTCCACTGAGTCCTATAGTCCTAAGTAGCTTCTGTGGACTGTTTTCTTTTTAATGGCTGCCCCGGCATCTCAGCGGGGCAGCACAGAGGCCTCACTGATTCTCTTTAATTCTAACACTTACTTAGCACTGACCTGTTCACTGGGTCAGTTTCACACAGTTTTTATTTATCCCTCGTTTATTTTCCCATCACCATAATGCAGCATCATGTTGTTGTTCTGATTAGATCTGCTCTATATTTATTTGGTCATAGTCTGAGAGACAGAACATACAAAAAGTACAGATAGCAGACACACACAATCTGATGTGCTCTACATAAACTATAAGACAATAAACTTAAAAACTCATTTGGCTAATGTCACACAACAACCTGTGTTGAACAACAGAAATGACCAAAGCATTCATTAATTTCTCCTTACTGGAACTAAACCTGTCTCAATCCCTCAATGGAAGTATAGGGGAGGTGATGTTTTCAAAGATCTGCACAAGGGACGCTTTCTAAACTCTACAGATGTACGCTGTACCTCTTGGGCCAGTGCTGGTAGAAGCTGCACAGTGTAGGGACGTATCTGGTGAAAATGATGAAGACATTTGTTTGAAGACGGTGTGGGAAAACGAATATTGTACGTCTAAGGGGTGGACAGAAAAAACAGAGAACCAGCCATGGCAGCAGAGGTGGACACAGTCCACAGCTCCATTACTGGAGTCACAGTACAGATCCTCCTGGTCAAATATGACTCCAATACAAGTGAAAGTCGTTCAGTCAGATGTTTACTTGAGTTAGTGAGTACTAGAGAACTTGATTTTAAAAAAACACTGAAATATTCAAAAGTACATTTTTTTTTATATGAACTCATATTTTTCCACATTTACAGAACCTAATGACCCTGAAACAACCTACTGACTGACTGACTGACTGACTGTAGAACCTGTAGAATAAAAACCTGTAGAATATGATACATTAGATAGATAGAAATGTCCAGAAAACACAATTGAATCAACAAGACCGTGGTCTCTGTGAAGAATCTTCTGCCTCATCTTCATATAACCTCGCTATCATTAGGACACTGACAGGTTCAAACATGACTGACAGTGGAGGAGTTGACTGTGATTGTTTTTTTCTCCTGTGATGAACACAGTGTATGGTCTATCACATTTTCAAAATAAAAGAAGATTCACTGACTAATAAGAGTACTTCATAGAAATGTAGTGGAGTCAAAAGTACAATATATAAGTGTAGTGGAGTGAAAGTCTGAGGTTTCTAAAAGAATAATATTCAAGTCAAGAACAGATACTGGAAAGTATACTTAAGTAAGTACTCAAGTAAAAGTACTTTGTTACTGTCCACCCCTGGATGACAGTCAGCCAGCACACACACACGACCCTGGAACTGACTCAGCTCAATGAACTTCAGCTGTCATTAATGAGCTGTGCTTTTCCTCTGAGAATGTGCTATGAAAAATGTGTGTGAGAGAGACCTGAGAGGGAAACAATATATTTAGATATATTATAGTTCAAATGTAAGGTTGTAAAACATGATGACTTTCTACTGTAAAGTTGGACATTTTAACATGGGAGTCTATGGGGATTGACTCACTTTTGGAGCCAGCCTCTAGTGGTCATTAGAGGAACTGCAGTTTCTGACACTTAGGCCTTTATCTTCATCTTTCTAACTGCTTTAGTTTATGTTAGAAAGACAAAAGACTAGGACAGGTCACCAACAGCAATGATTTCTCAAAGGCAGTTAAATTAAAGTTATTAGTGCTTATTGAATAAATGACTATTTTATGGTGGAGACACTGCAGAGAGAAAGTAGGACAGGAGGAAGAATGGGTTCAAACAGCAGAGGTAGAGTAATGATGGCAGAGGAAGAGGCTGGAAGGACAATTTGTCAGTGACACACTGGAGGTCATTCATCATGTGAGTCTTGATTAGGAGCCACATATTTGACTGAATTAGTCAAGCTGCCTTCTGATTTCACAGCCGTCAGAGAGCAGAGGAGAGCAGAGGAATAATGATTCACTGCCTGAACGTGTGTGAGACATTTTTGATTTCACCTGTAATACCTTTGTTCCTCAAACATGACTAAGGATTTTATAGTTATGTTAAGAACACTTGGTTAATATTAAGACCAGACTGTGGTCACAGTCAGTACAGTATGCTTTAAGGTAGGTTAGGCAGCTACAATAAAGCTCTTGGTATAGATCATGCTGTTGCTTAAATTTATAAAGAGTTGATGCTCTGTGTATTCTATTTTATTTTTTTCTATATCAAATAAATCTGATGGTACCAATTCTAAAATAAAACAGGTCTGGGAAGAGGACCTGAACATTGTAATCGACCATGATGTTTGGAAAGAAGCACTAAAAAGAATAAAATCCTGCTGTTAATTCTAGACTCCAATGAATCCAATTCAAAATTATTCACGGACACTACTACTCCAAGGCCAAACTTCATGTAGTAGGTGTAAGACTATAGCGTGCATGCAAGCTCACCATTTCTAGACTTGTCCAAATCTACATAATTTTTGGTGTCTTCTGTTCCAATGGTAAAGTCTTTGAGGTTACTTTGACTCCTGACCCTGAAACAGCGCTGTTTCCACAATAGCAGTCCAAGTTTATGGCATGGTAAATGCCAAGAGATGCATTTTGGAGTTATGGAAATCTGACTTACCTTGAGATTTGTTTGAGAGAACTGATAGGACTGATCCTACATGTAGAAAGACTGAGGTATGAACTGTCTGGAAGACCGCAGAAGTTCCTTTGCATATGGTGCTTCAGCACATCATTATTATCATGTCAGAGATTTATTTATTTACTTGCTTATTGTCCTTTCTGTAAGTCCAGAATCTGTCTATATTATTTAACTATGCTTTGTCTGTCTTAACCATATAAAACCACCATGAATACAATTTTTAAAAAGTTGATGTTCAGTGGCAACAAAGATTTGTTCTTGGGCCTCTATTGGCTTTATTCATTATTTCATTAGTTCATTCATTTGTTCATTAATCAATTAGTTGACTGACAGAAATTGAATTGGAAACAAGTTTGATAATTGATTAATCATTTAATCATTTTACATTTTTAAGGAAAAAATCCCCAAAATTCATTGTGTGTGTGTGTGTGTGTGTTTGTGTGTGTGTGTGTGTGTGTGTGTGTGTGCGTGTGTGTGTGTGTGTGTGTGTGTGTGTGCGTGTGTGTGTGTGTGTGTGTGTGTGTGTGCGTGTGTGTGTGTGTGTGTGTGTGTGTGTGCGTGTGTGTGTGTGTGTGTGTGTGTGTGTGCGTGTGTGTGTGTGTGTGTGTGTGTGTGTGTGTTTGTCATCATGGCTAAATGTGATGCTGGAGACACCTACTTTGAATTTGAAGATAGTTGTGAGTACATACATTATGTTATAATGTAGTAATAATAGAGTTCTGCAGGAATGAGTCCTAAAGCCTGGACATTAGTTAGCTCCTCCAGTCCTGATTTCTTGAAGCTTTTAAATCTGTTTAAAAAAGGCCCGTTGCTAACAAGTGTCTAAATGAGACTACAGAGGTTAAACATCATCACGTTGAACATGAAAACCGATCTACTCACCAGTCTACCTTTAAAAGATTGTTGTGTTTATACAAACTGTTGCTAACTTTGTAACTTACATCTGCTGATTGTATTTAGGCTTCAAACATCATAAAGTGGTGTTTATTAGTGAAGCTGATCCTGCTGAACAAAACCTGTCAGGATCATAAACTGTTGTTTATTTCCCTAATATTCCAAAAGAAGGAAAAACCCCATTGGCTTTTAGTGGAGAGAACCAGGGTGATGCTAACATCATGGTTTGTCTACAATACATCATCCTGTAGAAGGTCAATAGGTGTCACAGCTGCTGTCATTGGTTTCAACCAAGCATCAACCTCTGAGGCTGAAAAATAAAGAACCACAACCTGCAGTTCCTCTAATGACCACTAGTCTGGCTCCAACAGTGAGTCAGTCCCCATAGACTCCCATGTTAAAATGTCCAACTTCACAGCAGAAATAAACATGTTTACAGCCTGGTACAAAAACAGGGTCTCTTGAGCTAATTTCCTAATTCATGACAACTGTGTATATAACTCACCTGGGAAAAAAAACATTTCACCCCTGACATCAGGTGTCTTCCCCCACTTCTGAAAATCAGACCCACAACCTGGAGCTGATAGTGAACAGAAGAATTGTCTCAAGGCGAGAGTAGCCATCTTTTTATAGTCACTATTAATTCATCACATGTAGTGATGACACCTGTAGAGATATATCTCAGTCATCATCATCACACTTGTACATGTACATGTATTTTAAACCACATCTTGTCCACATGAGGTCCACTGTCCCTCTGTGTACTCACTGCCAGTGTTAACCACAGCAGCCAGTGCCCTGATCTGACTCTGTATGTGGCCTGAATGAGTCAGAGCAGATGTGATGAACACTGTGGTAGCCATACATCATAAGCTATAATCAGGAGCAGCATATGATCGACAATATAGCTCATGTCTGTCAGAGGAAGAAGACCGGAGATCACAGTTGTTCCTGTGCACTCATGACACCAAGTCACTGGTTTCTTTAAACCTCATGGAGGTTAGTTTGAAAGATGAGTTTACATTTTGAATCCTGAATCATAAATCTGGGATCGTCGTGTGTGTGTGTGTGTGTGTGTGTGTGTGTGTGTGTGTGTGTGTGTGTGTGTGTGTGTGTGTGTGTGTTGTGCGCGTGTATGTGTGGTGTGTGTGTGTGTGTGTTTGTGCATGTGTGTGTGCGTGTGTGTTTGTGTGTGTGTGTTTGTGTGTGTCTGTGTGTGTGTGTCTGTCTGTGTGTGTGTGTGTGTGTGTTCAGGTGGGAGGTCACACCATGCTGCCTATCCGCTGGATGCCTCCAGAGAGCATCATGTACAGGAAGTTCACCACAGAGAGTGACGTGTGGAGCTTCGGGGTCATTCTGTGGGAGATCTTCACCTACGGCAAACAGCCCTGGTTCCAGCTCGCCAACAATGAGGTATGTCACCACTTCATTTAATGACATGAAGAAGAGTTTCCATTCATACTCCACAAATTAGATTCTGTAATTAAATTAAAACAAACCTTTGAAAAAACATTTTGTTTTAATTTTATAGAGTTTTGTAACAATTTATTTTGTGGTTGTAGTTCCTAAACTTAAAAATACAGAATACAGACAGATCCTAATAAAGCAGAGGTCACTAGCAGGTGGACTGTGGTCCACATCCAGATCCAGACCCAGTCGCTGTCCTTTCCAGACCAGAACATATAATCTATAAATCATTGAGAATTACTCCATTTTGATGGAGCATTTCTATTTTAACCGGCGCAGCTTTTCTAGCCTTTATGGCACTGGTCAGATGATGCTACTCAGCAATCACTGTGACTCAAGTCAGTGAGTGAGCCATATGGACATGGTGAGACACATAAGTGGAGAAAGTGAGATAAAAGAGAGAAAGAAAGAGAAAAGGAGTTAAAGCTGTTGTATTTACAGCTGCATGTGTTGCTAAATCAGCTCAATGTCTCTAGATTTAGAGACTTGTGTTTAAACAGACTGGGTATAAACCTGGTTCAGGTCTGGGCTGTGTATGGATGACGACCGGGGGCTTAGGGCTACACCTCTTGACACAGGCAGTCTATCGAGCTGCTCTGGTTTCCTGACTGCTTGGGAACTGCAGGAGCACTTCCAATACACTGAGGCTCACCTCCATTACAGCAAATAAATTACTTTTATTCCATGTATCATTATTGCTAAAAGAGGCAGAGGAATAACTGAACATAAGACACACTGAGCAGAGAGAGCAGGAGAGAGAGAAGTCATCAGTAACGAGGCTTCGTACTAACGACTATGATCAACTCTACATATCAAACAGAGGGAGTTAGACATAAAGACCTGGCTCTGATAAAAGTCTGTTACATTCTGGAGTTGAAGAAAATAAAGACTAAACTATTGTGGATCCAGATGGAGGCTGTGCTCTGTGTCAGAGACTAAATAAGAATTATAGTCTGTCTCGGGTCCCAGCGGTTCACCTGTTGGAGCGCATGACATTTTGGCTTAGTCTATGCTGCAGCCTTACAGCGGCCCGGGTTGGAGTCTGGCCTGTGGCCCTTTGCTGCATGTCATTCTCTTCTAGCTTTCTCTGTGAGTGATCATGTTACAGTAAATCCAGCTGAAATCACAGCTCAGTCTTCGTCTTTCATTTAGGTGTTTGGTGCTTTGTCAGATGACGTCTGTTATAAAATCAGGATTTGACCAGAGGTGAATGAACTGGCTGAGGTGTTGAGGACCATCTTTTGACCTTTTGGCCAGTTGTGACATGGCTAAACGGTCTAAGTGATGCAGAGTGGGGGACAGTTGAGGCTGTTTCAGTGATATTCTTTAATCAGAGGAAGATTGGGAGCATTTTTATTCACTTGTGATGAGACTTGACTTGATCTCTATTAACTGAGTAATCCAATGATACTGTTTGGCATTGATAGATTACAACCATTAGTCATTTGTATCAAATCAAATCAAATCAAATCAAGTTAATCTATAAAGCATATTTAAAATGACCAGGGTTGACCAAAGTGCTGTACAATAATATACAACAAAAACACACAGCATAATAACTCTAAGACAGACAGGGAACAGTTTGAAATAAAAACACCAGGGATAAAAGTGAAAGATAAAACCTTAGGGACACTCAAAAGCCAAAGGAAACAAGTAGGTTTTAAGATTAGTCTTAAAAATATCCACAGAGGGGGAACACTTAATAAAAATAGGTAAACCTTTTCAAAGTTTTGGGGCAGCTACCAGAAAAGCCTGATCACCCATTCCTCTTAGCCTTGCCCCCAGGGACAGCCAGGAGCAGCTGGTCTGAAGTTCTGAGGGATCTAGGGATGGAGAGGGGGCAGAAGAGCTCAGAGATGTACTCTGGACCGTCTAAAGCCTTAAAAATAAATAAATAACCTTGAACTCGATGCAGTATTTGACTGGTAGCTAATGCAGAGATGCAAGTATAGGTGAGATGCTGTCTCTCTTCCTGGTACCAGTGAACAGTCTGGCTGCAGTGTTCTGCACCAGCTGTAGTCAAGACAAGGTGGATTGGGTAATGCCAAAATAGAGGGCATTGCAGCAATCCTGCCCGGAGGAATTTAAGGCGTTTATATGATGACCTTCAGATCATTGAACTAGAGGAATGGTTTAAGTTTGCCAATATTCCTTAGTTGGAAATAACAAGCTTTAACATTGGTGTTGATTTGTTATCAAATGAAGGACAAATGTGGGGTTTAACTTTGTGACATACTGGGTCACCTCATTTCCCCTGTCTCTGATTAGGTTTGGCTCATGAAGCAAATGAGCAGTGACCTCTTCTTCTGCCTGTGCTGCACTTTAATGTGATGCTCACTTGCATAAACTTTTCCTGAACAAGACAATAAGCTACATCTTGTTAACTGTGTGTCTCTCTGTCTTCCCAGGTGATAGAGTGCATTACTCAGGGCAGGGTACTGGAGCGCCCCAGGCTCTGTCCCAAGGAGGTCTACGACCTTATGCTGGGCTGCTGGCAGAGAGAACCACAGCAGCGCCTCAACATTAAGGACATTCAGAAGATGCTGTTCACCCTGATGAAAGCCACACCAGTCTACCTGGACATACTGGGATAGACTTGGAAGGAACGAGGATGTAGTTTAGGACTGGATCATGACTGCAGTAGAAACGAGTTCACTGGATCAGAGGGAATAGAGCTTTGGAGCCAAAGTCTGGCCTGGACCCACATCATAGCCTGTGATGTGAATCAGTATTCGGACTGAACTCTTTCTTGCATCTGACTGCCTGACATTTGAGGATTGGAATGATGTTTAGCTGGCTGGAGTTATATTGCATTACATTAGAGTATAATCAAGTACATGGATTGGACCTCACCTACAAGTCTGGGTCTTGGTTTGTGTGGTCAAGTCCTGCTCCTTTTCGAATGAACTAGACATGACTATAAAGATGTGACTATGAAGTATGGAAAGCATCAGACTAGATTGACCTGGATTAATTGGTTGTACTGGTATGGTTTGGTTTAGGTACCGTCACTTTCTAACCTTCATCCTCATTTCACCCGTTGATCAGTCCAGCTTTGGTTCTGTTCTGGTTTAGACAAAGTCTGACCAGGTCTGGAGTCTGGCTCAGATTGTCCTAGATTATATCTACAGTATCTCACCCTGAACTTGTTTTCATCTGTGTCCCTCAGTAAGTCAGGTTTCATAAATCTAATATTAGAGCCATCTCACTTTCTCGGCCTTACATGGGTTGTATTTTTGCCTGGAAGCACATGACAGTCACACAGTGAACCATCCTGGACTTCTGAAGGTCTCCAGAAATCTGTGTGCATTTTAAATGGATGTTTGTTTATTCCACGTTCTCTTACCCAGGCTGGTCTGTTTACCTGGTCACTGTTAATGTCAATGTCCAGATTGAACCGTCATGTATTATAACAGAAGAAGAAAAACATCTTGATGAAATGATGACGATGAGTTTCAGCTTTGAAGAAGGAAACATGTCTGTTAATTAAATCTATTAATTTCAGGTGTGACACAGTTACCTGTGACTGATGAATCATAATCTGTCATGATTGGTTCTTAGTAAAACTAAGACAAGAGGAACTGAACTGTTAGATCATCTAACTTTAGGACCTTTGTTGCCCATAACGACTCCAGAATCTAGCAACAGTCATGTGACTGTCACCACAATCGTCAAGGAAACGACCAGGTGGTTCTGGGTTAATGTAAAGGGACTGGTCATGTGATCATCTGTTGAACCTTTGTTTGTTGGAAAGGACAGTGAGGATGAATCGAACACGTCATGTGCAGCAGCAGCTTGTCCAACGTCAATACGCTTCACTGTTTTCATCTGCGGAGCCTCATGGATCCACCTTCCAGTCCAGTGTCATGTCAACCCGCTTAGTTGTACACTTCCTAAAGAACCTGACCAGATCTTCCAACCCTGAGCCTGGAAGCATGAGTGACTGTGTGTCGCCACAGAGATGGACCCAAGTGCCTCCTACTTCTTTCTAAACACTGGGAACTTTACACAAAAAAACAGTAGTCTTTCAAAATAAGAGCACTTTTACATTTTGTTTACCTGCTTAAAAATGTACACTAGCTGTAAACTCTCATTTTTCATCATTTTAATGACAAACAAACCTACATGCAGCACACACTATATATACTGCAAAAAAACCCAAAAAACTCAAAAACACAAGTAAAATTATTAAAAAGACATTTTTACTCTATTTCTGTAGGAAAGAGTAAAAATGAACAGAAAAAAAAATCTTTTTGTACTCTTTGCAGCTCGACGAGAACGTAGAACTTATCCAAGGTGAAGTTACATCTTAGTTTGTTTTTTTTAATTACATATTCTATATATTTTTAATTTATTTTTACTTTGAATCACAGAGTGGACCCCTGCCGTGCCCCAAAGCCATTGGAATATTTTGCCACTGGGTAGAAAATAAACTGATGACAAACAGCTGGTCATGAGGAGCCTAGTTCAAGACGTGTTCTTGTGTTTTGAGTTTCACGTGCTTTCACTCTGACGACTGAGCTACAGCTTCATGGCAACAGGAAGTCTGAGCTGAGAGGACAGCGATGGAGCCACCAGTAACTGTCACAAACATCGTGTTAGTTAAAGAATGTAAATACTGTAAATCTACATCCTGAGATATCTTAACTTATTTACTTTAATTGAGTTTGATTATTTTTAGCTTCTTGACGTGTTGTTATACAGTTCAGTGAAAGCCAATAGATCATTATGATCTATCTATCTTTCTTTTCATTGTAATATACTGTTATTATTTAGTCATAGAATGTAATAATCTACATTTAAATCAGTTTGTTGTAATATGAGTTAATCATCCGTGGGTGATGTCAGGACGGTGGAGGGAAGAGCTAAAGTTAAAGGGAAGATACTGATCCAGGATCAGAAACAAGCCTCACTCTTAAAGGAACAGTTCAACATTTTGTTATTTTACTTTTGTTGCCATAAGACACAGAGTCAGGTCATCTCTGTGTGTGTGTGTGTGTGTGTGTGTGTGTGTGTGTGTGTGTGTGTGTGTGTCCATTTATGTTGCATTTACCTAAGTTTAGCATACAGAGTGGAAGCAGGGCTAAACTGTTAGCTTGGCTTACACCTTCACCTTCTCAACTGAGCGTGCATCTTTTATTTTCTGTTTAATTTTCTGTTCATTTCATAACACTGCACATTGTTCATGTTAACACAGCTCTGGTTTACAATTTCATCACGATTAGAAAAGCACTTGGGAGGCCTCATACAAGTAACACAGCTAACACATGTGTGGACCCCCCTGTAAATACATACAGTATATGAACAGCGGGGTCCATAATGGCTCACTGAGCCCATAATTACAAACAATCAGTAAGCTTTGTCTTATTTTCTTCAGTAACAGAAACCAGTCTGAAGACTTCCCTCTGTCCATCAGCTTGTGTTCTCAGTGACAGCCATGAGTGTGTGAAAACACTGAGGGGGGGGTTAGCTTGGTCTGAGCCACTGTCACTGTTCACTGCACTGATGTTTGTCATGTATCTGAATCTGGAACAACTAGTTTCTTAGTGCTAAAAAAAAAAAAATTACTCCAGAAATTAATACCTTGAATTAAAAGTTGTAGTGGATACAAAATGTATGAAGATTCAACAGATGCAAACAGCTGGGCAGGTAGGACAGGTAAATCAGTTAACACCTGTGTGCAGCCCTGGGTTTCTACTAAACTTTATGTTCATGAAGTCACACCAGAGGTGCTCATGTTAAAGTTCACCCAGAGCATTAACAAGCCTCAACAAGCCCAAGTCTTCTGTATGATACAATCACTAGTGTAATTATAAGTGTGTGTTTTCTGTTTGAACTGTAACCACATGAAATTATTATATTCCAGAACTATGCATATTTATGAAGATAGAGTTTTAGCAGGAACAGGACACTGGTGTGAGCTGCAGCAGGTCATGTGCAACATCTCACAGCTTCTTGTCATGCGACAGAAAACGTGTGTTGTGCAGAAAAAGGAAACACGCACTAGGTGGATCGGTACTTTGTGGCACACGCACTGTATATTTGTTTTATCTGAACGTGCTCCAGGAAGTGATGCGTTATATGTGTGTGGTCTGCTGGGAGCTCGGGAGGAGCAGCTTTATTAGAACCTCGCTCTGCATGTTCATTATCGGCCCGTGTGTAGCTCTGTCCATGAACGTGGCTTAGAAAATGTGTCTGCACTGTGTTTGTGGTCCAGAGTCCTGACAGCCTTGCTTTATGATAGGCCAGTACTGTGCGTTAGACCGAGCTAAGGTTTTTTAAAACATTTTCAGACTGAACGTGACGCAAAAATCTGCCTTGCATTATTCACTAGTATTTGAGTGTTTGAGTCCATTTTAATTTACCCCACAAAGCACTGACTGTACAGATGTTAACTGAAGGCTGGGACAACTGTGGGCTCAGTTTCTCTGAATGTGAGGAAGAGCTTGTGGGGTTCAAAGATTGTTTTTTTCAGGAATACAACCCTGTGTGCAGATTGGTTTGCTTCTGCTGTCTTATAGGAATTAGTCAACTCTGCATGCCCACACCTTATCCCTCCAAACATTGACCATTTACCACAGTGTCTCTAAAGCTCCTTTTTTTCCTCTTCTCCTGTGTTTTATTTTGAAGTGTTGATCCATAAGAAGATATATTTGTGGTTTTAAGAACCAAAAACCATCTCAGTGTAGTTTTACATCTGCTCCCTCAGGCTTCTCTCTGAAGCTGTTGTTACAACAGGTAGGTAAGCCAATCAGAAGAGAGGAGGCTCTGAGCCTCTCCTCTAATTGGTTGACTGTTTTCTGAGTGATCCAGTAAAAATAAAGCAGATTTCAGGAAAACACTCAGAGAAACCAAATCCTGCAAGGTTGGATGGTGGGTCCAGGTGGGCGGGGCTTGGGGCATGGCTGAGAGCAGTGACTGCTTTGTTGTGACATCACAAAGTCCCAGAAGTCCTGACGGCTGGTTTTAAGGCTCAGTTTCTGAATACAGGCTGTGTGCATTTCTCTGTGGACTGAGGCTTTGATACTTTCACAGTATTAATATAGAACCTAGACCTGATCTATAATCACACTACACATGGACAGAGACCTTTCTACTATATGGACGCTTAAGTTAAAACAACCTTTTAAATGTTGGCGTGATCAGTAATTCATCAGCCAGTTTTTGTAGCTGAAAAAAGTCAGAAATTTAGCCAGAATACATATTATATAGCCCGACTTATAACAGTAAACAATAAGCTCATGCCCCGATGAATTGAGACTTCTGTATGACTATTTATTAGATCAAATGTGAAAGTCAACAGTAACCAGCCCCACAGTGTTTGCTTCAACTAGGAATTTATATATTTTGTTCAGTGACTTGTAACAGGTAGGTGCAACAATGCACAAAAACAGCATCTGTATTCTTTTGTTTCATTTAGAACATTAAACATCACAACATCAGTTCATCCTAAAGTTCACACACAGCTGCTGGGAAGATGCAAAATGAATGAAAGAAGGATTTTATCAAATCTGAAACCTCCACTTTCACCTCCACAGTTTAAAAATCACTAGGCCTATTGTGATGTTAATACCAAAAAGACAAAGAGTTAACTCAGCACCACATGGTGCAGCGACATAGCAGTGACATATTAACAGAAAATCCTACAGTGGTTACATTAGAAATTCTCAGTGTTTCTTATTAAAGCTGCACTGAGCAGGAAAACCCCTGTAACAGAAGAATGTCTGCCTCCGTGAGTCAGATCAGCTCCTCCTCTGTTCCGTCAGTCCAGTGGCTCAGTGTCTTCTCTGTTGACAGGAAGAGATAAATCAACAGCAAAACTTAAACTGACAAACTCTGAAGCAGTCAGTCACGTTGCTCAGGTAGCTTATAGACAGTGATATTAGACATGTCATTAATGTCATATTTAAAACCAAGTTCATATTAATAGCTCAACAGTGATGTTTTGGTCTAAAAACTCCACTAAATACAGTATGTTCATATTGTTTTGACTCCAGTGACAACAGTCACATCAGTCAAACCCAGTTCACTGGTGATGTGGGAAATCAGTGTGTGGGGGAGGGGAAGCAAACTGGCACTTTCTGTCAGTTCCATCACCTGCAGGTTTTTATGTTTTATTTTATTTCACTAGCATTAACCAAGGCTTGTATTTTAACCTCAGCCATAATAACCATGGTCTTTGCTGTGTGCAGACATAATAATGATTATAAAAAACCTACTACTACTGGCACAGAGAGAATTCTCTCTGGTTAAAATGCTGCAAATAAACTGGACAAAAATGAAGGAGAGGATCTGTTTATCAAGATACTGAACTGATGACTACTGTGTTGGTATCCAGGGGCCGGTTTCACCAAGCTGTGTCAGACTGGTCTGTAGTGTTGCTCCAGTCTTCATGTTGCTCACAGATCAGTCTGATGTTTGTCAGACTGTTTCACTCAAATAAAGATAAAAACATTAGACACCTTACCCCGAGGTCAACCCAGGTCTAAGACCAATGTTACCAT